GCGCAGCAGAATGAGGTAGAAGAGGCAGTGAATACTTTCGTACTGGAGACTCTTCGACCAGATGAAGTTCCAATGGGAAATGATTGGGGCCCAGATCTACAGGACTATCATTCTGCACCTGGACGCTGTGAACCACTCGATGATCCTGCGAAGGAGGCGAAGGCGAAGTCAGCAGACGAGGCTGGAGAGCGAGAAGCTAAACGTCAACGACTACTCGATGATGTGCCTCATTCGATTCGGGGGAGCCACTCGGATCAGGAGGAGGCGTTCAACGTCTACGACGACAGCGACAGCATGATAGAGGCGGCCCCGTGACGTACGAGAGCAATCGGACTCTCTACGAGGAGCGCGGCATCAGCAAGGAGGTGTTGGGCTTCGGGGTGGAGAGGAACGAGTTCGAGCACGCTTGCCAGGTCGGCCAGACCACCGCGAAGAAGGGCAGAAAGGAGCCGAGGTTGAAGGAGATCAACGAGGAGCAGCGGAAGTTGTTCACAGGGGCTGGAGGATCCGACAAAGAAGTGGAAGTCATGGCAGGACCTGGACGCCGGCGAGACCCTCAGCCTAGAGGAGAGCGAGCAGATCTGGGAGACCAAGGGCGACCTCATGATTCCAGCCAAGTGGGTCAGGACAAACAAGAGCGAAGGCACCGTGGACGGCCCATTCGAGGCGAAGTCAAGGATGGTGGTTCAAGGTTTCAAGGGCAAGAGGCTTGGAGAGTACCGGAGGGGCGCACCGATAGCTTCGAAGTTGGTTGAGGCAGTTGTTCGCTGGGTAATCGCGAGTGCCAGCATGATCATGAGTTGCGGCGACGTCAATAATGCCTATTTCTCGGGACGTGGGATTGGACGCGAAGTTTACATCAGTCAGCCTCGAGGTGGCCTTCCTGGACTTCACCCCAGACAGCTCCTGGAGGCGAAGAAGGCGATCCACGGGTTCGCAGAGGCGGCGCGTTTATTTTGGTTGGCTTTTTGTGAGGTCTCGGAGAAGGATGGTTGGTTTCAATCAGTTCTGGAGTCAGCTTTGTTTTATGTCAGGGATGCGCGTTGTAAGCTGGTTGGGATTCTTTGCGCTCATGTGGATGGTTTGTTGGCTGGGATTATTGCAGTGCTGCGTGAGAAGGTGGCCTTCAAGTACACGCGCGCAAAAACTGAACTTCTCAAAGTGGCAGAAGGAGGATTTCTTTTCAGAGGTCGAGAGATCAAGCGAATGTCAAATGGCGACGTTGGCGCAATGATGAAGGGCTGCAGCCTCAACATGAAAGGCGCGGCGGTTCAAAAGGATCGGAAGAAGGAGTTGGCCAGCCCGCTCAACGAGACGGAGGTGACATCCTTGCGGAAGGCTGCCGGGGAGATATCTTGGCTGGCCAGACAGCTACGAGTAGATCTAGCGTTTCAGGCAGGACAGGTTCAACGTGCTATGGTGGCGCCGTGCGTTGCGGACTTGGTGACGCCAACAAGGCGATCAACGACGGATAGCGGGGTGCAGGCTACGTTCAGTCCGAGTGGGATCAACCTGAAGGGGTCCGTGGTGGGCGCCGCGTGCAATTCAGGTCGCGCGAATGGCAATCCAGAGAGCGACGGTATCAGCAAGTACAAGAGCATTGGTGGACATCAGTTGTTCACTGCAGAGAAAGATGTTCGAAGTGGAAATTTGGTCAAGGCAGCGATGACGGATCACAGATCGAAGTCGACACAACGAGTTCGCAGGAGTACTTTGGCGGCTGAATCTTCTCATTTGGCAGATTATCTGGAGGCTGGCGAATGGTTATGCGTTATCCTCGAAGAGGTTATATCGACAAGGCTGGGCTGGAAGAAATGGCAGAAGAGTGTTGAGGTGCAGCGGACGAGATTGTTTCTAACATATGCCAGATCAGTTTATGAATATCTCACCCACGAGGGGTCTGGTTTGAACTGAGATAAGCGACTGGCGATTGAAGGTGTTTTGGTGAAGGAGGCCTCGCGGCAGCCAAATACTGTGTTGCGGTGGGTAGATGGAATGCAGAATCTTTCAGCTATTCTCATTCAAGATGGTGTGGACTTGGAGTCTGTCAGACATTTCTTGCGGAGCAATAAATTTGCAAGTCAGCGCGCTTCCACTGCAATGGTAATCAAAGAAAAGAAGCGATCGCAGCGAGCAGCCCGGAAGTCCGATAAGCCCAATCGAATTGAGGAGCATCGTGCTAGACGTGAGCGAACAGCTGCGGGAGTTCGATTTGACGAGTTGGTGGATGTCGAGACGTTCGAGGCTAAATCGTAAAAATAATGAGTCTGAGTTTCCCCAGGGGAAATCAAGTGAGCCCCATCGATGGGCCCAGTGAGTCAGCTAGCCTACTTGAGCCCCTCGAGAGCCCGCCAGCCATAGCCTCTCGCTCTCTATTTCTGTTCTCTGCCCGTCTCCATGCCCCGTGTTCTGTGCCCGTCGCCGCGTGTGGCTCCCAGGTCGGCATTTTAGTTTTTGCTATCGTACCCGGCTCCTTCGGAACCGCCGCGTGAGCAAAACTTTACGGCCCGCGAGCCTCGCGGGGATTGCAATTCGACGATTGCAAAATCATCAGTTGCACATGCAAACATACGCATACTTGTCGATCCCTTGGCATCGCTCGGGCGTGTGCGTTTCTCTTCGGCCAGGACCATCGAGGAGCATCGTGGGAATCCTGGGTCATCTCGCGAATAAGATACCCACGACATCAAAACATGCAAGGGGAATGGACGTCTGGGCGATGGCCAGGTGCCCAAGACTGCGTTTGTCGCCGGGTACGCGAAACGGGTTCCCCAGGGTTCCCCGGGCCCCTCTGGGGGCCGCCAGCGGTCGCGGTGTGCAGGGCGTGCGGTGCGGGGCAGAAGCTTTTTCCTCCAGTAGGAGGCCACATGCGAACCCTATCCCACCACCCCACGAGTTCGAAGGGGGTGGTGGGGTAGTACTTCTTCGCATGTGGCCTCCTATCCAGATCCAACAGGCCCAATCGGCCGGGTAGGGGGCCATTTTTTGCAGGCCCGCGCGCGGGGTTTTTGGGCCGGCGGTGGGCCGGGCTGCCCCCCGGCGGCGCGTGGTGCAGCTCCGACGCAAGACGTCCGCGCGGAGCTCCAACGACTGATACTTCTACAGCCAAGGCGCGGAGATAAGGGCCGCTCTGAGCTCAGGAGAGGGGTTGTGGTTTTCGGGGCTTCCATGGGGTCGAGGTCGTAGAGCCTGTTCGTGGCCGTCGCCGTGGCTGGGAAAGCCATTGCGTTCCCTATTCAGGGGGCTTCCCTATGGTAGCACCATGACTGTGCAGTCTACTGCTGTTCTGTCCCTGCGCGTCGACCTCTTTGGCGACAGGCCGATGCGAGCCCAGGGAGCTGCCTTTCCCGTATCCCAGGCCTCGGGCGGAGTTCGGGCGTTGCGTCTTGGCGGGGTGATAGCCGCAGGAGGTCTTTAATGTTGCACCCCGACGCCCCCCAATGCTCTGGCTCGGCAGTTAGGTGCGGGTGTCGGCGACCGAATATTTTGTCCAGTATTGTTCGCCGTGATGTTTTTCGCTGGGCGATTATTCCCCCCGGCGGATATCCATCACCTGGGCATTGTTGGGGGAAGGGGGCGGGGCCCCCGTGGCAGCGCTGAGAAGCATGCCTCGTGCGCTGCTTTGGCGTGCTGGCAGGCTCCGTTGCACGCGTCTGCAAGGAGCCTTCCCACCGCCGCCACGGCCAGAAGGCGGCGCGGGCGCGTGCGGGCGCGCTGTGCGTTGCTGCGCGCAGGCGCGCAGGGGTGCGGCTGGCGCGCGTGGGCGCGCGCTGGCTTGCGGGCGCCTCGCGGCGCACGCCTCCTGGCCCGCTGTTCACAGACCCCCGGCGTCAGAATTCCTTCGCAACGTCGACCCTCAGAAGTCTCGACCCACTCCCCCGGAGCGGCCCCGGCCCGGGGCCCGACGAGGGCCCCCAGAGGCCGAAAACAGCCCACAGAAAGACGCCCGTCGTGATGTTCTCACGACGCGAGGGGATCTGGGTTTATCGCCCCCCGATTACGCGACGCCCAGGGATTGCGGTCGGGTATCGGAGCGCAATGCCGAATTTTCGCTTGAGGTTCGAAGTGCTGCCCAGGGTCTCCGTCTTTCTGCTTCTTTTCCCCCCTCCTTCCTTCTTCTTCTTTCTCCTTCCTTCTAGTGTGCAGTTTATGTAATGCCTGTCTGAACGCAGTTATCTCTGTATTATTTTCTACGTTGGCGCGAAGCATTTTCCAGAGCACCCGGTCACCGGGACTGCGTGTCCCATACGCCTGCCCTCTGAGAGGACCGCCCCATAGGGGCTGGAATGCGGGTCGCATCGCATCGCATCGCATCGCCCAGGGTCTGCAGAGGCTGCTCCTTCGCCCAGGTTGCAGCGGTGCGGCTGCGGCTTTGCGCTTCTGGGAGGAGCCCAGCACCTTTCCTTAGGGTTAGGGGACCTGGTGATAGACAACTGTCGCCTGGTCCGAGCAGCGTGCCATCACGGGAGCGGCTCAGCGCACAACAGGGTCGACATTTTTGGTCACTGATTGCTTCTGTCACTGACAGTGGTGGAGTTGTCAAGTGTATTCGTGTTGGGCCCATGTTTAATTAAGCACGAGACTGGCAATCCTTTGGCGATGATTCAGCGCTGCAGTTGGACATGTGACCATCAAAGTCACCTGTCCTTCTGATCTTGGGCCCCCTCTTCTGGAACCAGAGGGCTCCCATGGGGGTGATGCCATCCGGAGCGATCCGGTCCTTGATATCTCACGCACGCAGGCACCTCAGCCTCGCCCTAGGCCTCGGCGACTGAGTGCCGTGCCAGGTGCAGGTGGGGCAATACACGTGCTCGGGTGTGGCCTCTGCCGTCTTCGGCCCCGGGAGTGTGGGACGTTGCCAGGCGCCCTGCTTGCTCTTCATAGCCGGCCATCTGTGCCTGGTCTTGCATTTGTGTTGGGTCCATGATGTTCTTTATTTCTTATGATGGTTACATTTTCTCTTTCTCCTACTCTTCCTTCATCTCCTCCCTCATCCTCAGGTTGCAGCGGCGTCTACGACAGCCAAAGGGAGCTCTTTCTGACGCTGCAGCGCACGCACGACCTCAACCAGGGCAGTGTGCTGTACATGCTTTCGGACCCAACGGGGTCCACGAGGACGATGAGACGGAGACGGAGGGCAAATAAAGACAACGAGGAATCTAATTGCCGATGACCACAGCAGAAAGATGATGAGGAAAACAAGGCACCGATGATCACCATGGGACCAGGAGGGATACCACAGGATGAGAGCAACCAGTGCCGATGGACGTCCAAGAGATGATGAGGATACAGATGAAGATGGAGATGAAGCTGACGTTTATGATTACGCTGATGATGATTGTGATGGTGATGATGATGCTGATGATGATGTTGATGCTGATGTTGATAGTGGTGAGGAGGATGCTGATCTAGATGATGATGATGATGAGGATGATGCTGATGATGGTGATGCTGATGCTTTTGATGATGATTATGATCAAGACGATGCTGATCGTGCTGACCAGGTCGATCATGATGTTGATGATGACGCTGGCTGTGATGATGATGCTGATGATGCTTATGCTGAGGATGACGATGTGGATGGGGATGAAAACGACGACGACGACGGTGGTGATGCTGGTGATGGTGGTAATGGTGATGATGGTGGTGAGTATGATGATGATGTTGATGACGACGGTGATGATGATGCTGCTGCTGCTGATGATGATGATGCTGACGATAATGATCATGCTGCTGATGAGGGTAGTTGCGGTGGTGATGAGGGTGATGTCAATGATGATGGTGATGCTGCTGCTGCTTCTGATGATGCTGATGTTGAGGCTGATGCTGATGCTGCTGATGGTCATGTTGATGCTGCTGCTGTTGATGACGATGATGATGCTGATAATGATGATGATGAACATGCTACTTATGATGCTGATGATGCTGAATATGATGATGATGATGTTGCTGATGCTGCTGCTGATGTTGATGATGGTTTGATCGGAAGATGACACATTACTCATTCCACCATGTTGTAGTATTGTGAAGGCCTTTCGGCCAGTGCCGCCGACACTGAAGTCGGGACGTCCCCCAAGACCCCCGCTGGCCGTGACCCTAGGGGGGCGGTATTCCAACCCAGAAGAATCCTGACCCACCAAAGGTATGACTTCCCCGGTTCCTCCGGGACCCCCGCTGGCGACCCCCCCCGGGACCCGTCGGAACCCAGGAGGGGGCTCCCATGCATCCCCCTTGCGCACCCCCCCTCCCTACACCCTCCACCGCCGGCAGGCACTTCGACGTTCTTTTACCTTGTTCCTCGCTTTCCTTGGGACTGACGACGACGACAACATTTTTAGTCCATCGACTTCGGGGAAACAAACATCCACATTGCTTCAGTCTGTGGATGGTATGCGAGCGAACTGTACTAAACGGATTCCCGTCGCAGGGCACGGTTGCCCTTTCTCGCCTGTCTGGGGCGCGCCACGCGAGGAACAGGGGGCTACGACGAGCGATAAACCTGCTGCGTGCTCGGCCTCGGCTGATGGCTGAAGGCTTACGCGTTTATATCATCTAACCTCGAACTTACAAGCTGGCAAAGTTAGAGGGCTAGAATATCCATGGCTTCTGCCTCCTGGGCGTCCAGGTCGGCGTGATCGAGCTCGGGCATTGGGATTGAAACATTACCATTGCCTGGCTCGGGTGCAACAGTAGCGGCGTCTGAGCGGCTGGCTGTCGGGCGAGGGTTAAACAAGCGATTGCGCGCGTTGGCGCTGGCAGGCTGAGAACAGGCGCGAGACGGTGGTCTCAGGAAACAGGGGAACTTCGGATGTCGGCGGACTTCCGATCCTGAGTGCACCGTGCACGTAGATTCGCTGGGCGGGAGAGACTGGAAAGCACAGAAAGGACTGGGCGAAGCTCATTCACTTCGGGCGGGAGAGACTGGCCACGCACAAACAGGACTGGGTGATGCTCATTCACTTCTGTTGGGGCGCGTCTACCCACGCCCCGAGCTCCTCTTCGAGCCATCCTGGGGGCGCTACTCCTGTCATCACCTTGCCCACCCCCTCGGAGCGGAAGGCTGCCAGTACGTCCTGGCGGAGGCTGAAGTTGTTCATCGAGAGCTGGAGCTTGACGAACTTCTTGTCGTGGCACGACTCCACCCGGATGAACGCTATGCTGTCTTCGATGTCGTGTTTGGTGATCGTCGCTGTGCCGTCGGCCTCCGCTGGTTGGACCTTCTCGAGCCATGCGTTGAGTGAGGCTCGGAGCGCTCCGCCCACGTCCGCTGCCGCCAGCGTCTCGATCATGACGACTGCGAGCGAAGCCGTCGGGGGGCCGAATGTGGCGAGCTTGGCCTTGTCTGTTTGGCGCAGCCCGTCGATCTCGTTCTTGTATTCCTCGAGTTCGTCCGCGAGGTTGGTGACCACTGTGTGCTCGACTGGGAGCTGGATCATGTCGATGGTGCTGGCCGCCAGCAGGCGGCTCCTCTGCGTTGGCTGTAGCAGGAGTTTGGCCATGGTCAGCAGGAGGTCGTAGACGTTGCGATCCTTGCTAGTCCACTGCTTCTCCGAGTGGTTGCCGCGTCTGCGTCGACCTCCCCGCCGACGACGTAGGCCCCTTCCCTGGTCCTTGTCGTCCTCGTCGTCCATCGCGGTCTCCTCCCGCTTGTCGCGGGCCAGCGCTCCGCTGGTGACTTTCTGCTTGGCCTTCGGCCGCTCGCTGGCGCCTGCTCCACCACTCCCAGACACTGCTGAGGAAGGCTGCCGGCGCCACGCCGCCCTCGGCTTGGCTGCTGGCGTCGCCGCCGCTGCCGCCGACACCGGCCCCAGGCGTAGGTCTCGCAGAAGAGGTCGCACGGGTGCTGCGAGGGATCGGCGTTGAAGTAGTAGGTGTCGCAGTTGCCGGCCATTGCACTGTGGTGCGTGTCTCGGGGCTGACGGAGTAGGTTTGGCTGGCGAGGTGGCTCGGCGTCTCGTCGAGCTCGGGCGCGCGTCAAGCGGCGGTGCCGCGGCTCTGGTGAGCAGCTGGGGCGATGCCGACTGGGTCAGTCGGCGGTCCGCAGGCGTGTCCTCGGCGCGCCACGGGTCGCCACGAGCGGCGGGCAGCACAGCGGCAGCAGCGGCGTCGGCTGCTCCAGCTGGTGCCCGCGCTGCCGTGCCAGCGTGGGGCTCGCTCGTTGTCTGGGTCCGAGTCCAGAGCCCAAATGGCGTCGGTGGGATGTGGGAGAGCACGTGTTATCGCAATTCGGCTGGATCAGGGTAGCCCCGTCGACAACACTCCGAGGCTGACTACGCGTACAGTGGGCATAACCGAAATCGGGACTGTTGCCATCTGCACTCGTGTCGGGTGAGCTCGGGGGTGCGTCGACCTTGCAGCCGCGATTGTTTATGATGCCGAATTGTGCGCTCTATCGACTGGAACACCGTGTCACAGATCAGACACTTGTTATCGAGGGCGACCGTGGATCACATCGCGGGGCATCCGTGCCCAGGGGCCCGAGCATGCACTTGGTGTGCGATAAGCCCAGGCATGGTGCTGAATTTCTTACAGCGCCCCTCTATGCCGCAGACGAACTTAAGCTCATCGTCGTCTGAGTCGTCGCCGTCCAGCGTCTGGGTCTGAATGTGCTCCGCGAGGGGGGCGTCGGGAAGGGGGGGCCATTCTTTGGCGAAGAACGTGGCGCGGAACACCGTCATGTCTATTATTCGGAAGGTTTTGCTGGCCTCGGAATCCTGGAAGAGTTCTCGAACCACTGGCGGGTCCCACGTTTCCCGAGGATATTTCTCAACAGGATGGTCCAGGACGCATTGCAGGTCTGCTTGAAACTGACGGGCCCAGGGGTGAACATTTGGATTCGAGTTAATCGTGCCATCGGGGTTGAGCGGGGGAGACGGTGCACTCGCGCCCATGCGCACTTCGTAGAGGCAGCGACCGAAGAGGGCTGCTAGCACCTGAGCGTGATGTTCTTGTTCGGCAGCGATGCTCTGCCAACGGCCCAGCTTGCGGATCATGAGCTCCAGCGCGGATTGGGGAACAGACCAGTTATCAAACACCTCGCGGGTAGTGAAGGAGTGGTGGTGGTTTGCATCGTCGACGTCGCGGGCTCCCCCCCTCAACATGGCTCGGAGTTTCTTCGCGACGCTTCGATCGAGTCGCTGGGTTACCCGAGGAAGGGGAACATATGATTCGAGCCCACTCCAGATTCGTCCAGCCACGTTCGCGAGGAAGGTCATTCGTTTCGCGCGTTCGGGCCCCGAGGGGAACCAGCATTGACCGAGCGAGCTCCACCCGGTGTTCCCAGCCTTGACCCTTTCTGTGACTTCCTTCTGGTTGGAGGCGTTTACATTGATGTAGCCTCCGAGGTGTATCAGATCGGCGACGAGTCCTCCACTAATTTGTTTTTCCGCAGCTCGAGTGGCCTGGGCCGTTCGCAGTCGAACCTGGGTGTCGTGTTTGGAAACGTTTTGAACGTAACCTTCGCACTGGAGCTCCTATGGGGGATCGCGCTGTCGAAACAATCGATGGGGAGGGCGTTCTTACAGGAGCCCTCAGGGATGATGAACACCTGGGCTAGATCGTCGATGAAACTGCCCATCCCTACGTCCTGGACCTGGTCTGCGACCGGGCGCTGGGTCTGGAAGATGGGGCCTGTGATGGCGGGCATCTCCCGCTTCCATCGAGAGATGGGCTTGTAGGGGGCCCGCAAAAAGAGTTCGAGTTTTTATTGCCCCAGTAATAGACGAGTTTTCCAGGAATCCTGACGAGCACTTGCAGCATCAGCTGGCGATGTTTTCCTCATTATGTCCTTGCTCCTGCTTTCTTCTATCCTCCGCAGTCATTTGCCTCAAGTGGCCCGTGCGGGCCGCAGGGGGAGTGCAGACTTGAACGGATGCTTCACTTCACATTTTGTGGAGCCTTCTGCGCAGTGTTCAGGGGGGCAAAGACCCCAATGCAGAGTCCAGGGGGCTTGATGTGGAACGGAAAAGATAAATCGTATCATCGTTATTCCTGTCGCCAAACAGTGCCTCGACGGAGCGTTTCGTGGCAAACTAGTGGTTATCAGCCGAAACAGCTCTATGAATATTCTGAGTTAAGGGGCTTCACTGCAGTGGC